ATTCTCAAAACCATTCATAAAGTGGATGGTTTAAAAAAGACCCAGAAACAAAACAAAACAACTCTTGGGTGAGAAACCAAAAAATTACCAAGTTTGTCATTTCCAATTTATATTGCATTTGATTCTATCATATCTTTATCCAGATAAGTAATTCTTAAAAGAAATTTGCATCTTTTGGGAAATGAATAGTGTACATTTAAAACAGAAAGAGAGAATGTTAAGATAAATTCCCTCTTGCTACATACATTTGTAAGCTTCCAAAGAATGGAGTCATTTAGGGGCACAAATATGGCAGGATAATAACTCAGCCACTCCTCAATTCTTTCCCCAAATAATCCAAAAATAGGTAAGCCAAAAGTAGTGGGTGTTCCAAGGACTTATGTAACCTCTTAGAAAAGACGTACAGGGAAGATTTTTCTATACAAAATAGCTGTCACATGAAATTACCTTAATAGGGAAAATCAAACCCAATTATGGCAATGCTACAAGATTACATGGGTAAAAAACAATCTATTACTCTGAGATCTCACTCCCCTAAAATTTTAAATCTGATGTTAGAATGTGATGTGTTTCTATCACACTCAACCTCGATTGCATTTATTGATAAACAACTTTTCTTTCCTGATAGATGTTAAGCTTCTTATATGCAAGAATCAAGTCTTTGAATCTCCAGAAAGTTTTTGCCTATTGTAGGAGATTAATCAACTCCGTTCAAATCATCAAAAGTTTATAATATTACTGATATTGATGAGTGATATGTCAGTTTCAAATAGTTTATTGAAAATGATGCAGATACATCATCATGGTGGTAAGATACCTTGTCACATTGGTAAGAGCAAATGCTTGTGTGGAGATAAAAGTCAGGAATCCCCTCTTTTTAAGAGGCAAGATGTTGGAGGAAAAGGGGTTTACATAAAGGGGGAATTATATAAAGAGACTGCTAATAAATATTTTTTAATATCTCCCATTATGATAAATTGTGCACTAAAACCAACATGATTAATGGGGAATAATAGGGTTGAGGCAGTCTGCTTGACACCTATCAAACCTTGTGTTAATTATCTTGAATACAAGCAATAAGTATTGGTGAGGATGTGGGGGAAAAGGTACACTCATACATTGCTGGTGGGACTGCAAATTGGTGAAACCACTCTGGAAAGCAGTATGGAGATTTCTCAGAAAACTTGGAATGGAACCATCATTTGACCCAGATATCCCCCTCCTCGGTGTACACCCAAAGAACTTAAAATCAGCATACTACAGTGACACCACCACATCAATATTCATAGAAGCTCAATCCACAATAGCTAAACTATGGAATTAACCTAGATGTCCTTCAAGAGATGAATGGATAAAGAAAATGTGGTACATATACACAATGAAATATTACTCAGCCTTAAATAAGAATGAAATTATGGAATTTGCAGATAAGTGGATGGATCTGAAGAATATCATGCTAACTAAAATAAGCCAAACCCTAAAAAACAAAGGCCAAATGTTTTCTCTGATAAGCAGATGCTGATCCATAATGGGGGGGGGGGGGGGGGGGTGCTAGAGAAGAATGAAGGAACTTTGGATTGTGCAGAGGGGAGTGAGGGTAGGGAGGAGGTGTGGGGATGGGAAGGACGGTGGAAAGAGATGGATATTATTACCCTGTATACATGTATTGTTACTGGTGTGGCTCTGCACCATGTACATCCAGAGGAAGAAGCTGGGCTCCATTTGTGTATATGTGTCAAAATGCATTCTATCGTAATGCACAACTAATTAGAACAAATTAAAAAATAAAAAAACCCCGATGCTAGAGCACTAGAACGTTAGCAATTTAATTAAAATTCTAACAGTTAAATCTCAACTGCAATGTGCACCTAGCACCCTTTGCATCCTTAAACCTCAGGGCTGCTGCTTCTTCCTTCAAGATATAGGTCCCGGAGGTTATTCATTTCATCAAAATTAACCAAATATCATGAATTCATTGATTTGCAGTAATCTACTGTTTTAACACAAGAGGAAATGAATTTGAAGCCTCTTCATTTGCATTTGCAGCATACCAGGCACTGCTGGCATGAAAGATTGATGCCTATGTGTGTCTTCTGTCTTCTCCTAACAGTCTACACACTTTGCTAAGTCCAACTTTAATTGTGAGAAAGTTTGACTTTGTTAGAAAACATTTAATATTAGTGATGGGTAAAATCATGCTGGAACCGATACAACTTCTGAGTTACATCAACATCATTTTCTAAATGCATCTGAGGTAATTATGTCAAAAAACACCACACGTATAGCGGAACAGTTAGAGTGGTAAATGGCTTACCCAGGTATTGGCGTATGTGAACTGAGTTTACGTAGAAGTAGCTGTAAAAGTGGTAATGATGTTCGCTAGCAACATTTATTGAGGCTTACTACATTACTGGCATATGATGTTAAATACTTTACATGAATTATTTCATTTATTCTTCATACAGACTCTATTTAGTAGATGAAGAAACAGCTAATTTGTAAGATAAAGTATTCCTCTTTGCCCAAGTTTACAAACCTGGTAAAGCTAGGATTGGAACCCAGATCTCTGTGACCCTATGGCCTCAGTTATCAATAACCACCACAAAATAATATTTCTCATCCATGAAAGGGGAAATGATTCTGTAGTCGTAACCGACAATCCTTTTTATCCAATGGGCAGATGTTAATGTTAAAATTGACATAGACCTCAAAAACCACTAAGCATTGTAGAATACTTATTATTTTTCCAGACTTAACTTTTCTGGCTAAGATGTGAGAGGAATCTTTGGACATGGCCAAAGGAGAATTCCAGAAGTGAGACACCTCCTTTTCAGTTCTTTCCAGCTGGGTCAGAGGTCTGCTGTGATGACTCAGGCTATGCAAGAACTTGGAATGGACTCACAGGCATACTACTACATTTCAGACAGATCTGACTGTGGGGAGAGAACTATGACCGGGGAATTTATACCTAGCTACAGCCAGGACTTTCGGCACAGATGCCAGTAAAAGAACTTCTGGTAGAATATAACTCTTCATTTAGAGTCATTCAACAAGTATGTATTAAATTTCATGCACCTGAAATTATGCCAGGTGTTAGGGCTATGAAACTGAATAACCTATTAAGACCTCAGGCCTGTGGAGCCAAGTGCTGGCATGTCATGGAGCATGCTCTGTGCAAGACACTCTTCTTGGCGTTTGACATATATTAACTTGTTCAATTCTCACAAACTTATGATGTACAGACTAATGTTCTGCCTCTTTAATAGTTGAAAAATCTGGGAGGCTGGGTGCTTAAGAACCTTGCCCAATAGTCATACAGCTGGTGATTAAGTGGCAGAGCTAGGCTTTGAACTTAGGTTGTTTGAGTCCAGAGCCTGCATTCTTGACCTCTTCTCTAAACTCCCTATTTTGTGGAAGGAGACAGAAGGATTAAAACAATTATAATGTGGGGCAATAAGAAAAATTACAGATGTATGTACCCAGTGGAATATTAGTAGAGGAGAAAGTGATGAATTCCACTTGGTGGGGGGAATAGCATTCTGGGAGGAGTGCCAATTCAGCAAAGCCTTCACAGCAGATGTCCACAGCTACTGGGGACAGCACTGGAATTAACCCAGGCAAAGGCATGGTGGTGGGAATGGGCATGTGTGTAGTTTGTTATGTTCTCTGCATATTTCAACAATAGCAAAAGAATAGGGTAGGGGAGTCAGGAGATGACTGCATAGCAGTAGGGCAAGCTCAGATAGAGGGAAAGGTCAGAAAGAAGAAGAAATCATTTATTTGAATTGGACACACCAAGGTGGTTTTATGTAAGAAATAATGAAACAGGTTTTGGAAAGGGGAGAGAGCAAATAACCTGATTTTATCTTTTGAATCTGTTGACAGTATGGAGAATAGGTAAGGAAGGAAAAATCTAGAAGTAGTGAGTCCATTTAAGAGATATAATAGTGCCAGTAAGAAACCAAGGTGATGGAGGTAGGAAAGGAGGGATGAGAAGAGAAATATTTTTACATTTTCGAGGTCAAGTCAATAGTTAATTCCAAGGTGGGGGCGGGGTGGGGCTTGGGGAGGTTCCTTTATCAAGGGTAAAGTTTGATTCTTAAGAAAGTCTAAGTGGTTAAAGTCAGCTCTAGACTCTTGCTTGGGAACACAGACTTATAGGGGCTCTGCAATTTTAGATGCACAGAACCCGACTGTGGTTAATAACTAATTCTTGGTATCATCCTTTTTCACCTTCCTTTGTGTAGTGTCCAAAGCCCCTACTGAAGAAAACAGCAATGCTTTACTTTGTTGATGATTATTGGTTTTGTAATATATCATACACAGCCCTAGAACACTTGGCCCATGACTCGGGAAGGCCAAAGACAGATGATTACTAGTATTTATAATTATTGTTATATTATTATTATTATTATTATTATATTTTTTATTGTCTGGGGATTGTCCCAGAGCCTCATGCATGTTAGGCACGCACTCTACCACTAAGCCACATCCCCACCTCTCCACTGACAGATTACTACCACCTGGTGTTCCTGTACCATAATAATAATCTTCTATCCCATTTAACATATTTCTTAATGTTCAAAGATGGGTAAATTACCCCGTTTTTAAAATTGGTTGAGGAAATCAAGAACCAAAAGCAAAAAAAAAAAAAAAAAAAAAAAAAATCCCCCCAAACAAAAGAGGTGAGTGTCCTTGCCCACAACCTCCCTTAGGCAGCTGGCACCTGCTTTTCTGCTTTATTACCATGACTAAGGGGTCAGTCAGCTCCTGGTCCTACAGAGCCTGAGATGTTGGGCGCAAAGCCGGCTCAGCTAAGGGTGAAGCCACAGCTGGGAGGATGACTCACGCTGGACCCAGAAAGAAAACAAATGGCCTCAGAAGTGTGGTGGTTATGGGGTATGGAGGAGGACTTGGAGAAGGGCCACTGACTTTTCCAGGAAGTTGGTTCGTGTAATAATTCTGGTGGGAAAATATTAAGGAAAAAAGAGTCCACTTACTGATACAAGAAATCAGATCATTAAATCTTTCCTTAGGAAAGAGGGGGTTTTCCAGCCCACGGAAATAGAGCTTCAGAACACCAGCCACTGAGTTAATATCATGGTTACTCTGGTCATCAGCCAGAGGATTTTCACCTAAAAAGCAAACAAATAAACAAAAAAAGAGAATATGTTTTTATGTACACACATTGCGCGCTCTCTCTCTCTCTCTCTCTCTATATATATATATATATGAATCTTTTAATTACGCTTTATGAAAGATTATATGGTACTAAAATTAAAATAATTGGTTTAGATATCCCACCCCATGATTAACCTAAAAATAGCGGACTAAAATAAAGCTTCAAAAAAAAAAAAAAAAAAAAAAGTCTTCAGCTACCAAATACTCCCTTACAAGTTACCCAAATCTTAAAATAAAATACTGTGGGATTTATAATTTTACCCAACATCTTTTAAAGTGAAAATCAGTAATCTTAGTTTGACATGAATTCAAAAAATACATTCTGTGTTACTTATCCTACTGGGAAAAAGACCCAGTAGAGTTTTGTCTGGCTAAGCTATATAGGTCAACAAAATTTATCACAAATATCAAATATAACTTCCGAACACCTACAAGTAAATAAACAGGTGCCTCCCCAAGTGGCATGATGGTGTTCATAGTACATTTGAAAGGCACCTTGAACACTGGAAGATTCTGAAGCCAAGAGAAGGAATCTGAAAATGTCCCCTTAATGACACCTCCCAAAGAACTTTATGAAAAGTTCATATTTTAAAAACATATCACAAATACAAACTTTTATTTTTCATCATGGTAAGCAATTTTAAAATATTAGGAAATTGGGCTGGCTAGCCCACATCTCTGAGAATTAAACAGATAAAATCCTTAATAAGCTCAACATAACATGCAGCCTTAAATCACAGGACTAGATTTCACAAATCTACTCTTTCTAAGGTTCACACAAAGTGGATTTTGGATTCTGACATATTGTTTGCCTTTTGGGGCAGTTTATTTTCAGGAACTTGTTGTTCCTTTTTTTCCCTCTGCTTGTAGGACTGAAAAATCATTGAACACAAATTCACCAGAATTATTATCATTATTATTATTGTTTTTGGCCCACTGTGAGAAAACTTCAGCCCAACAAATTACAAACTAATAATTAATACCAGGGGAATTTGCAAGGAAAAATAACAGAGCATCTGCCTGCTGTGGCTGGCACAGGAACCCGATGCTTCACTATGTTTGAACCTATCATTCTGAATATGGTCAGTATGGGAGGGGGAGGTTCCTCTGCTCCTATGCATCATGTTGGCCAGAGAATTTTGAACTAGAAAAAAACAGGATGGCCCCAAGTCTACTCTTCAACTTCAAATTTTAAATGGTTCTACACCAGGTCTAGGCCAGGGGAAATGAGACAGAGGGAGGGAAGTTGGGAACTGTGGTAACTGCTCTGCATTTCACCTTAACTTCTAAGCAGATGAAGGAAAGTAAAGATGTACCCAGAAGTAAATGCATTTTAATTGGAGAACATTAATGAATAATTGCTATCTTGAAACGAGTTAGGCATTTTCACGGATCAAGTCTAATCCTCACAACAATCCTATAATTTTGCATATGAGGAAACTGAGGCCAAAGTAAAAATTGAGTCACTTGACCCAAATCCCATGGGACTCTGATTTGATTCTAGGTCTTCCTGACATGAAAGTGTAGGATTTTGCTGATCATAATGCTCTCATTAATAGTTCAGTAGAATTTATGTGACATTCAATTATGATTACAAGTAAGGAAACAAGAAGGGTCACAGGAAGGAGTCAGGGATGGTAATGAGAGGAAGGGGAGAGCTCTTGAGGAAGGAAGGAGAGAGGGGGCAGCTGGGAGGAGCCATCTCACACACCTTCTGTGTAGGCCAGGACCACCCTGCTTCTTCTGGAACCCTTTCAGGTGCCACCTTTGACACACATCATGGGGGATCACTGTTAGTCCTAAACCACAATGCACAGCTCATATGCTTTTCTACATTTAATAACAAACACATGACTTGGGCCTGTTCCTCAGCTATTCTGAATAAATTCTGACCCTAGCATCTGCCCTGAAGTAAAGGTTTTGAGGTTATACAGAGTGAGTTTACCACTGCAGGACAGGAGATGACAGCTTCTTAACATGTTTTGCTTATAGGTATGGACATACAATTACCTCTCTCAAATGAATTTTTAATATCATTGACTTCCACCTGGGAGCCAGACACTCTGAAAATCCCTTGATGCTGAAGACCTAAAGGCAACAGAAGGCAAAAGAGAATGAGACACTCCATCACATCCTGTAGGTCTCCTTTTCCCAAGAGTTCAATGTAAAGCACAAAGAAATTTTCACTGAAACACTGCTGGTGATAATTTTTTTTTTTTTTAATAAGAATTCTGTAGTTTAAGGCTTACCATAGAGATTGATGAACCGAATACAGCTTTCCACAATGAGGGGGATGACCTGTCCTGAGTCCTGGTAAAGAGATGGAAATCAGTGAACTTCAAAGGAGAGATCTAAATCACACATAAGAATAAAGCTCATGGTTCAACAGTAATTAGAGTTTTTCTATCCTTTTAGATTTCCAAATCCACCCCCTCTAAAATCTACAACACCAAAATGAGTGAATGAATGAATGAATCAATGAATAGTGAAAGGATTTATATTTAAGCAAAGGTATATTTCTGTTCTGAAGCAAACTACATTAAATACATTTAACACAAGAAAGCAACACTGGCTTCAACTTAGCCTTCTATGTCTAGAGATGTCAAAAGCTAGCTCATCTCTTTTACTTAGGCTTACAAACCAAAATGAAGAACTCATTGTTTGAAAGAGTTCCCGACACAAGTGGTCACTCTTTGATGGACTTTAAAGGAACACTATGCATCATAATCATAGCACCTTAGAACTGATTAAGTTGCACTAGTCACCAAATAGTGCAACTTAAAGAGTCACCTTCCAGCCATCTCTCTGCCACATTCCAGAGAATTTGCCACCTGCATGATGAGTTACAAAAATAGCTTCCATGGTTACAAATGCCTGCTATAGGAACTGTTTCACAAGTAATAAAAATGTCTCATGTATTTACTTAGTTTGCATCAGAACCTACTCATCCTTTTAGAAGACCCTTCCTATTTTTCATGTTTTAAGGATTAAGGAAAAAGATGACACAAATGTCCATCCCATTAGATCTCATTTTCTTAGGAAGGAAGATTTTTTTTTCCTATTTCTTCAAGTCTTGTAAAATAGTCACTCACTGCCTTCAACTGAACATATGTGAATTCTGAATATACTTTAAAACACACAGAGGGTGACAAATGAGATGAAGGAGCTGTTGCGGCCACAGTTAAAAATGTATCAATGCCATGCACTCCGCAGAGTTAAATCGAGTTACTGAGTATGGAATTATTCTTCATGTACTTTTAAGACTCTGATCTTTCAGGAATTAGAACTTTAAAGGAAACATGGGATTAAAAAATGATTAGCTGACATAAGGCCTAATTCATGAGGAATTTTATTCTGAAACACAAGAAGAACTTGTTCTTGATATATTAGAACAATTCAGAATCCACGAACCTTTCCAATTTAGCAGTGGGGGCAAAGATTGGGAATAATACAGATCAGCAATTTAAGCTCTTTACTATTTCTGGAACGGGTAATGCACTTCTTAAGGAATAGTTTCATTTTAAGTTTTAAGACAATCTAATCAGTGTATAAACCAGTTAATGGTTCAATTACTTCTGGAGCCTGCATTAAGTTTCTCTGATTAGTTAATTTGTTTTAGGAGCATACATTTTATTAATTCCTTAAAGAAGAGCCTTAAGAATAAAAGCACATCTTCATGTGAACTAGTTGGCTTAAGAACAGCAATGTAATTACATTAAACTTTACTCAATACCCACAGGGATTTTTCTTTAAAACACAAACATGTTTTAGTGGGAATAATTGTCATATGAACATTTCATGTAACTATATAAAATAAAAGAGCAATAAATATTTAAACATAAGTGATGGAAGGAGAATATTAGTTTACACCTCTGTAGAACTTAGTATCAAAACAAAAAGAAAAACAAGGAATAAAAGATTATTAAAAGAAAAATGTTTGCAGTAAGAAATTTCTAAATGAAATGTTTATGTATTATCTAAACATATTCTTACCTTTACAGTCACTCGGGTGATTGGAATTTCATTCAGATTAAAGGAATTTTGTAGTCAAAAAGTAATAAGCATGTTTGAATTTAATTTCATGGGTGACATGAAATATTTTCTAAGAAGTGAAACCATCAGTGGGCTGCATTCCAGCTGCCATCCAAACAAATCTCTTTGTGTCTCAGTTTCCCTACAGGAAAAAAACTGGCTTTGCTCTTGCAGCCTCACAGCAGTACTGAGGAGATCTCAACTGGACAAGCACTTTTCAGATGCGCAGAGACCTCTGCACCCTTCTCCATGTTATAGTCACTGTCGAAGAAGTTTCCTCAATCCATCATCCCAGATGGTGGAGAGCTCACAGAGGTAAATTCCCACAACTGCTTTGCTCCTTCTTTAGTACCTTAGTTTGGCTTCTTTTAGCAATTCTTAGTGGAAAATCTTTTAAAATATGATGTGCTTTCCTATCATCTTAAGCATCCATTCTCATAGAGCATCAGCAAATATGGCAGAATCCTATAGCTGCTTTCTTGAGCTTTCCCGTATTCTCTTTCCCTGCCAGGCCATCAGCTGCATATCTCGCTGCTTTCATTTTATTGTTTCCCTCTCTCCATCTAATTTGCCGCTGCTTATATGCCATGGGCTGGGAAACTAGATAATCAAATTTGACAATAATTTTACATTAAATTAGAGCCAATAAGGCTCTTCTAGGTTTAAAGCTCAAGGCAATGGATTTGTGATTGCTATTTAGGTTGCTCAGTGGCTTTTTACTTAATTTCAGGGTTAGGGCTCATTTTCAAAGCTGCTAGTGGTTTCCAATCCCTCTCCCTTTCCATGTATGATGTATCTGTCTGTCCATAGACACGGTGCATGCACATACTTTTTATTCATTAGCGCATATATTCAGTAGACGAGATATATTTTTAAAGAAAGTAAATGTCTATAACATGACACAGATTTAGTCTTCAAAAGCATAGCAGCGGCCCATGATATAAAATGTGAGCTATGAAGGAGAAAGCTCCTTTTGTGTGTGTATGATTTACATTAGGATCCATAATCTTTATTAAATGCATTTTGGTATTTAACATTCACTTTCCCTAATAAAAGCCCTTGACCTCAATTTGATACATCTTCCAAACACATAAATGTGAAAACCAAGCATTTATCTCCTTTTACCGGAGGAGACTATTCCTCTTATACTGGTGTTCCTTCTTAAGTAAATCTTATTTATAAACCTGTCGAATTTCCAACTGCAAACATTTTTCTCTGAAAGCCCTTAAAAACTCGAATTAAAGCCAAGCAGGAGTAGGACTTGGAAATGAGACCAGCAGTGGGAGAGGCCGAGCCCTCACTTCCCTCTAGCACTATACCTGGTGCCTCGCGTGTGAGTTCCTTCGTCCTCGGCTAGAAGCATTATCAGAAACACAGATGAAAAAGAAGACAGAGAGTAATCGCAGCAGAGATACAAGACACAGACCACAGGGTCTTACAATTGATCCAATATAATTTATTCCTCAAGTCATCAGAAGTCAAAACTCTCGCTGTGCTTCAGAGCGAGTCTAACAAATGGATTTTAAAAATATATTTTGTGCCATTTCATTTACATGAGGAAAAATAAAACATCTTATCAGGTTTCTTGTTTCCTTTTTTTTTACAATTTATGGCTTTTTTTTTTTTTAATTAAAGAAGAGAGTTTCTCTTTTGCTCACACGACAACACCCACATTTATTTCCTCTTTTGAAGGTATCCAACTCAAATATTCTTTCCTCTCTGACTTCAGGAAATATTATATTGATTTTCTGGGAAAGCAGAGAGCCCCAGGATAGACTCGGACATAATGACCTGCCCCCCTTTTATGAGAGGCTGAGACCATTATAGTGAGAAGTGTGGAGATCAGCCACCCAGATGGCTGGTGCGGTACCTTGACGAATGTTTCCAAATCCCCATTAAACAACTTAGCATTATACTGTGAGCGGGGTCTGGACTTCCTGTGTTTCTGGGGCTTAGGGGGAACATTTGGAGGCCTAAGGGAAGGGAATATAATTACTGAGCATGGCAGAAATCAAACAATAAATGAAACACCCGAAGGTCACATCAGAATTACAAAACATGGGATCTTGGGTTCCTTCCCCACCCCCACCCACAGGAAAAACAGTCCCACCCCTTCCCATTTATTTACTTTTACTTATGTATCAAAAAACATATAAGCTATTCCTTTAGATTATGTTTTCTTATAGTCGTAGCTGGCATTTGTTTGCTAGTTTATTTAAAAATGATAAGCATTACAAAATGGAATATGAACTATTTGGGCCAATGTTATAAAGTAGGGTTCTTATTATTTGGTTTACAAGTCAAATAGTAAGACACAATCAGTGGTAAAAATTAGGGTTCTCATACATCCCCAAATGAGAAATTAAATATAAAATTTTTAGCTACAATATAATTTTTTAGTGTAAGTAATATCACATCTGTTCAGTACCCCTTAAGTATTAATGGGATTTTATGTTAACTATTAATGGGTCACAAATGAGGAAAAAAAAATAAGAGTTTGCTGGTTCTGACTGGGGACACAGGCTCAGATGAATAATTATTCCTGTAGAACAAATTGTCTTATCACCTAAATATTTGTAGATCATGAGGATGCACTCATTTATGCTGTTCCGTACTCTTTCCATCTGTCTGTCTGCCTGCTTTGGTGGGTAAGCCAGTCTATCTGACATATGCACATGCAGGGCACAGGTACTGTATTTAGAAACCCTGCACTGTAATTGGAGGGAGGCACTCTTTTTCTGCCTTCTCCCTTTAGAGGAAAGAGGGACAGGATTACCTGACTCAACTTCTAAATCTGCACAGAAAGGAATACATGGAACAAGAGCCCCATCACCTCTTTCCAGATATTCCAATTTAAACCTCTTAAACGTAAGGTTTCGAGGACAATGCACAACACAGTGGGAAATAATGCAAAATTCTCCATTAAACAATAGACTGTCTAGGAAGAATCATCTTTTTAATTCATTTTGTTCAAATTCAGAAAGTCTAGTTTAGAAACCAAATCCCAAAAATTTATGTCGAAGCTCAAATGGCTTCAAAAAGTACTACCACAGCAATCAAGAGATGCAGAGGAATGAACCTGCTGAGAAAGCCTTTCATAGCTAAATTCTAAGACTCTCCCAGCAGGTGGGCTTAGAGGACTAATGCAGCAGTACCAGAGGTGTCACAGTGTCTCACAGCCCAAGAGGAGCCTTCTCAAATATGTAAAAATGAATATAGAAAATTCGATCAAGCAGCAAGTCATGATCTACCACAGCTGAAAATTTTTGAAATCTCTTATACTCTAAATTAAGTGCCACTCTTGGGGTAAGAAATCTGGTAGGTATGAAAAAGCAAAACAACTAACCACCAAGGAGTTTAACCATATATATTTGATTTCACTCACATTTTCACTATTTTGTAAATGTTTTAAAATGTAGGTATGGTGAAGTCAACAGATCAAGAGATGACTGCCATTGGTTTGTGACTTCCAGTTCCCAGAGGAGGGCCCACAGTCTGCTGCTCTGTCTGGGGTTGGGGAGAGGCACTCATGGATGCAGCAGCATGGGTTGGGAGGCAGAGGGAGCAAGGGGGAAATGTGGGTAAGAACCATTGTTGTGGTTTTCCCTGGGGAAGGAAGGGGAGAAACAGGATCAACAGGTTTCAGAGAGGTGGATTTGAATAATTTCCATGGGCTCTGTGACACTGTGACTATCCCTAGTCTATTCCTGGCCCCGAGGCAAGGGGAAACAGTAGTCCTGGGTGAGAATCTGATGAAGGAGGTGGACTCTAATGTGGACTCTGTATTGGCTGGTAAAGACCTGACTAACTGGGAGAGGCAGTCCCTCCAGACTTGGCAAGGACCCAAGATATCAAAGCATGACATACAGAAACTGGAAAACATAATTATTACAAGATTCAACAGAGCTGTACGTTTGGTGATATCTGGAGTACCTGTCGAAGCTAAGGGGATCAGAATTTGGTCACTGATTCGTGAGATTACCAAATTCTGTAGCTGGAGACAAAGCCTCCAGTGGCATTGGATATTTGTTCCTGAATGATTGGAAGACACAAGGCAATCGTAGCTGGAGCTAACAGGGATGTCTTGATATTTCTACTAAAGACCTGCAGATTGTCTGTCCCAAAGGTTCTAAAGTATGAGATAAACGTGAAGAAACTAAAGTTGTGAGAGGGACTTGGAATAAAATTAACTGCATGAATACCTATCAAAGTCAATTTCTTGGCAGAGGTGCAGAATAGGGTGCCCACAGTTCTGGTTCCACTCTGCCCATATCAGGTGAACAGAGTCAAGGCTATTCAGCTCCCAGCTGCCTGACTCATTTTGGCTCTGTGCCTATCACACAACTTCGACTTCCTGGCAGTTTGATTTCCTGAATGGGTTTGTCCACATGAGAGGAAGTATTGTCAGGTTGATGTGAATATCTAGCTTATTTGGCAATTACAGTTTTTATTGCAAAATACTACATTGGAAGACTTTAAATATTTTTAGTTGCTTACATGAGTCATAACCTAGAAACAGCAGGAAAAAAATGATGGTCTAAAGAGATAGTATATGTAAAAATTATCTCCATAAGCTGCATACTACTAGCAGAAGCAATATTCCTCTTTGTCACTGACAAACCAAAGAAAAACCTCAGCAGTTTTTTTTGATAAGTTTAGAAAAGTGAGTAGCTTTATCTTTCCAGTTAATTCACCAGGAAGTAAGAGGAACTTCCTTCTGAATCAATTGTCTAACAGTATAGAACCTTGAAAACCAAATTGCCAGATACACCAATGTTCTAAAAACCTCTTACTTCAAACAGAACAAAACTGAAACAGCCTTCAAAAGTCCAAAGTCTTGCTATCAATTAGAATAATTTCTGGCTATTGTACAAATGGTACCATAGAAACATAAAAGCAGGGACAAGTGTTCTCCAATCCAAATCAGGATCAGCTTCCAAAATGGCTTTTCTTTCCTAACAGTAACTTCAAAATCCTTCTATGAAAGGTAAGGGGAAAAAAAAGCAATGGGTTGTAGGTGTTAGAAGTTCAACTTAAAAAAACAAAAAAACAGGGATTGAACCCAGGGACACTTAACCACCGAGCATCATCCCCAGCCCTTTTTTAAAAATGTTTTATATTTTGAGATGGGGTCTTGCTAAGATGCTTAGGGTCTCACTAAATTGCTGAGGCTGGCTTTGAACTTGTGATCCTCCTACCTCAGCCACCCCCAGCCACTGGATTACAGGCACCACCATGCCCAGCCAAAATTTCACTTTTTAAAGTGAACCATAAAGGGTTTAGCAGAAAGCTAAAAATCCTGTGTGTTCAATATTGTTCTACTTTTTATCTGACATAAGACAAAGTAGAAGCACAAAGGAACTAATTTTTTCTTTTTATTCCCTTCCTCCCTTCCTTTTTCCTTTGTTTTTTTCTTTTTTATAGGAGTAAGTATTGAACTCAGAGCTTTGCACATGCTAGGAAAGTGCTCTACCACTGAGCTACATCCACAGTCCTTTTAAATTTTTATTTTGAGACAGGGTCTCACTAAGTTGCCCAGGCTGGCCTCAAACTTTCCTCCTGCCTCTGCCTTCCAAGTAGCTGGGATTATAAGCATGTACCACCCAGCCTGGCTGTAACTAATACTTTCTACTTACTACTGCGGTAGATATACATATCATATTATATGTTAACTAAATTATCAAATCAAAAGTCTTGTCATAATATTTTTAAAAACTTAATGTGTTTGGATTGGATAAACCAAACCTGTTCAGCTGAGGTCTTTGACACTGGTTCTGCTTATTAAAGAAGATTTAAAATTCCACTGGGAAACCCTCAGATATTCTAGAGTGTATCTAATCTGGTGAGAACCCCAAGTATTTGATTCTTGTTAAATAGAAAAGGAAGTGAGATACATTATCAATTATAATAAAATATCTTCCTACCTTGTAGTCATATATTCAGCTCTATGACCTGCAGAAACAGAAAATAAAATTAGTAAATTCAATGGAATCAGTAGAGTCGATTTGATAGTCTTTTATATCATCTGTCCCTTATTTTAAGATACTGAGTTTTTAACTTACACATTTTATGGTAGCAAGCATGAGTATACCATATAAAGGTAGACAAATAATTCAAAGTCAATATTGCATGAAATTTACACAATTTTAATTAATTCTATAGATGAGGTAAACATTTCATCTGATAATTTGAGGTAGTTTTTTTTTTTTAACAAGAATTAGCTACTTGACTCTAATTTTTAACACAAAATAAAAATACAATATATCCAAGATTTGCATGTTAGTTATTCTGTCTTGAATGATATTTGGGGAGAAGTATGAGGTCAAACAGTTGAGACAACTCCATTTCCTTTAGACAAAATTGGTATTCTTTCTGTGACATGAAATCAGGGCACTGTAAGAGAAGTTGCATTCTCTAAGCAGAAATGACATTTGCAGATAATAATGTACAAGAACATTAAATTATACTGCATTCCAGCAACTTGAAAGCTAAAAGCCTTTCATAGAGTTCTGTCACTTAAAGTAGGAATTGCTTCTTGGACATTTGGGCTTCTTGACTTGTTTTAAATAACAGGGCTGAATTTTCATAGCACTCACATGATCTGCTCTAATTTCAAGCTTATATGTGTCAATGGCTGCTGTCTGCTCTTTCTTACATTCTGGGTGGAGAAGAGGTTTGGGAGAGCTGAACCATTCAGCTGGTTTGTTTGCAAAATGATGATTGATTCTGAAACAGCTTGAACATATAGCTGGCAGAGGAAGGTCATATTGCAGCAAAAATGGGTGAGCTCGGGTCATTATAACATAATGCAATGATTCAGACTTATAGGCAAGGCCTTATAAGTATATGATATATAATACTTTTGTAGTGCAGATTCACATTGTAGAGAAAGCTGACTTCTTGGGAATGGTGGATGAAGACTCCAGGCTGTAACAGAGCCTGCTGCTCTATCTGCTCTTGAATAAAAAGTGACATGAAGTGTTTGATTTTTATCTAGTGATTAAGCAGGGGGCAACAGATAATATCAGAGAACACCTTTTTCAACATAGATAGATTTAGGTTGCTATAAGTGTTGACAGAATTAGTTCTTGGCCAGAGTTGGAGTGGAAATAAGGGGGAAGGGAAAGAACCTGATTCCTCTTCCTCTATCTGATTCTGTCTTTTAACTATAGGTCCTTTTAGGTTTTATTTTTTTAAGTATAGGTTCTTTTCTTCTGCTGATCTTCTGCTACTTGGGAGAAGAACAAAGGGAACATTTACACGGAACTGCAGAAAAAACATAGATATTCATGAATGGAAGAGAACTACTGGGAAGGAGAGGGACAGACAGTGGGCTGACATTTGGGGATTTGTAGACCGTCAAATGGAAGTGTCCAGCAGAAATCTGGCCAGATAAGGTTAAGGCACAGAGAGGACAGGGATGGAGGTAAAGATCTGAGTCACTACCAGTTAGGTTGTCCTGGGACCATAGGAGCTGACTGAGATCACCAAGGGTGAACTAGTAGAATGAGAAAATGGTTGAGGTTCAAGCAACTATGTGGCTTGTGCTGTTCTGTATTGTCATGTTGCATGCTTTATTATGCAATAAACGTATGATATGATATGATATATATATATATATGTAAAAATAAAAATATCAAGATGTTTAATATTTTTTACACACTGTGATAATAACAGTTCTAAGTATTAATTAAGCAACAAATATTGTAAAGTGTACTAAGCACTTTATATTAAATACTCTACACAATAACCTTATTCTTCTTTTACAAAAGAGACTGAGCACATAGAGAAAGGACTTATCCAGGGTCATGCTATTAGTAAGGGGTGGACTTGGCTCTAGATCCAGGTTTGTTTTAATTCTAACTCTGAGCTCCCAAGCACTAACTGTACTAATTTAAAAATGTAAGTCTTGGGCTAGGGATGTAGCTCTCAGTGGTATAGCACATCTTAGCATGCACAAAGGCTCTGAGTTCTATCCCAGCACCACAAATAGACAAACAAACAAACAGAAAAAAAAAAGTGAGTCTTTTTTCCTGGAAAACACTTTGAGTAATCCTATAGGAAAAGTATGAATCATGGATTATGATTCTGTCTGTCCTAGAAGAATTAAAAAAATCATAAAGGTTTTAGTAAATCTAAAAACATTACATAAATATGAAAATTATTAAATTAGCAAATATCTGAAACCTTAAATAATACAGGCTAATCATTTTCAAGTGAGTCAATGGTAGTGATGCTGATGATAATACTAAGAAGTGAAGTGTTTTAAAACTTGAATATTTTTCTTTTTTTGTTGTTAAAATATCCCATCAAGTTATTCCCTAGATTTAGAAAAGGATGATTATATAAAGTGGCTTAAAATTATTTTGCTCCATCCATCTATAGTTAATAGCATGAAATAAAAAATTAAAAACCTATAAAAGATAAGTTTTGAGTAATGAACCAAGAGCAAGCTTTGCAAGAACTATCACTCACAGCATGCACCACCACATCCATCGTTTTCTCAGCTAATAGACCTCAGTGTGTCTCAGCTGATGAATGAGGTTTTATTTTTTAATCAGTATCATCATTAATAGATCAATAATGCACAGGCTTTGAAGGCTCTCCTTCCCAAAGAGATGTGAAAGCTTCCAGTGGTCTGAGGATTAGATTTCAAGCATTTTCTTTGGAAGCCTATTTAATTATTGAAAACTACAGAGCCACACACTGCCTTCCTCTCCCATACAAGACATTTGGAGGAAATAAAATGACCCAGGATTAACTTTCTTGGTACATACACTCCCTTTGATTACTCTTAAATTTCACTTGAGAATTATGAAGTGAATTATTTTTCACACCTAAATGCATCGTGTCTCTATATAGCAAAAGGGAAAAAACGACGCACAATTTGGTGGCAACTCGAGATTAAAAAAAAAAAAAAAGCTAGAGAAAAATATTTAAAATATGCACAGCTCAAACTGGATGGAGACACCACAGATTTGTCCTAATGAATGACTGATGAGGATTCCTGGCGTCACTTCCCAGTTCTTTTCTTCCTTAAGAATACCAACTACTTCAGTGCTTTTCTAAGAAGACATAATTATTCACAATCAGCTTGTCTTTTGAAAGTATGTTTGTACTCCTACTCAAAGACAGACAATGGATTACGTGAAGATACCCCATTGAATTCCTTAGGCCCAGGGCAGAAAACAATGTAACATAGAACTCGGCTCTCACTGTCAGATTTTCTGGGTTTAGCAAAAGGTTTTTATAGATATTTACACGCTCTTAGCTCCTTATGTACACAAAGAAGCCAATGTGAATATTAAGGCTCACTACTGAAAAATAACCTCAGTTTTATAGATGTATATTTCATTTACTATCATCAATCAAATGGATTTAAAAACAAATGACATCACAAAAAGATATAGTGGTATTGCTGAAGGATGAAGAAGGTGACGGTGAGTGTGGCTTTAAGAGCTCATTATGTGTTTCTTTCTATATTAATACTTTTTGAAGATTTAGAATTCTGAATTTTGACAGTGTCACTTTAAGAGCCCCATGTAGTTGTTTCACAATGTTGTAAAGCACAGAACTTACTGGGCCACTGGTAGCCTGCCAAAAGCGAGCAGTACGGCAGGCCAAACACATGTCTGTAGTTAGAGTCTCAGCTGTGCACGATCAACTGCTAAATCCTGGGGTTAGGCTCTATTTGTTTTACCATGAAGGCAGTTTTTGCAGCAGTGAGTCTAGTATAATTCAGAGAGGTGATTTCTATCTCAAAAGTCAAGACTGTCCCCAAACATGCCCCTTCATCCTGTCCTACTAACCTTATTTAACCAAATCAGGACTTGGATCCCTTCCTAAGGGCTCACCATTGGATTACTTCACCGTGGGACAGGTGCCATTAAATCCCCTGGTCTCCTTTAGTATAAGCGAATTAATGTGAATAGGGCTTGCATGGAAAGCCAGCAGACTTACAATGGTCACAACTGAAAGGTGGAGCATGTCTACCATGCTCAGATTTTCTCTGGGTGACAAACCCAGCCACTGACCAGAAACTGGTGTGTTGCCAAGCTTGCTTGAGGGGCAGGACTGGGGAATACAGAGGTCTGCAACCTGTGGGCAGAGCCCAGTGTGTCTGCGGCCACCACATGAAAGCCATCCAGTTCCTTCTGCAGAAGAAACTGAAGGCAGTGAAGATCTCGGACACCTGAACATAGTGTGGCACTGTGGGACACTGGAACCCACTGAAAGAAAATTCTAAGACGAAGAATTTCTGGCTTAGGGTTCACAAGACATAATGTGGCTTTACACAGCACAGCAGCTAGAGACAGAATCTGGCATACAGACTCAGCAAATTGGCCAAAATATAGCTCTATCCAAGAATGACATGTAAAATGACACGTAAAAACTATTGGGGCTTTCTCTCTAGGAGACCTAGGAGAAATTATGTTGAATAAGTCCCATCAAAGTTTCAGAACGTGGCTTTAAGCCACATTAACACGTGTCTGCATAAAGCGCCAAGAATGAATTTAATTTACCCACAGTACTGAATTCTCTCAAACTCAACAATTTCTAAAGACAGGAGGACTTCAGACTTGTAGGGAAAAGCTTTGTGTCTGAAAGCATTCTTCTATACTTGATAATTTATGCTTCGGGGCTGGCAACTGACCTTGAAGTTATTGCTTAAAATATCAGGCATTTATGATAAATGAGGGGTAGGGGAAGAATTTACATGACACTATGAGGGAGAAGGGAAAAAAAGTGACACAATTGCTCAGTGAGAAAACTATTGAGATAAAAAGGCTTTTTTTTTTTTTTTTTAATTCAAACCTACAGAAGAGTTGAAAGAATAGTACCAGGAATATCCTATACCCTTTGTTTACATTTCCCAGTTGTTCACACTTACCACACAGGTTTTATCATCTGTCTTTTTCTGAACCATTTAAAAGTAATGATACTAAAGTGGGTGTTTTTAAGAATAAGACCATTCTTTATAATCACAGTACCATTATCATAACTAAGAAAATTAACATTAATTCAATAATATAAAGTTTATATTTATTTTCCCATTGTGCTTAAGATGTCCTTCATAACTTTTGTTTTTTGATTCAGGATTTAATGAAGGGCCACACATTGCATTTGGTTGTTTTATTTTTTAGTCACTTTTCAGTAGTTTAAATATTTTCTCTTAGGTAAAATTGGCCTTTTGTTTTGGAATAGGACATCTTAACTGTGTAATATGTGGAGGCTTAGGTCATGATAACCTTTCTCCATGTGGTCATTCCCCGGTGTTGACGGGTTCTTTAGAGGAAAAGATGAGACAGGTGATGGGAATACTGCTGGGCAAGGAAGATTCCGGAATGATAGGAGGCCCGGGTACAGGTCTATGTGTGGCAATCTCTTTTTGACTCTATCACTCCACTCATTTCACTCATTTCTCACCCTCTTCTAAATTTTCTTTTACTTTTTAGAATGTCTAGCAGGATCTAGTGTAAATAAAAGATAATTAAAGTTGCATACTCTGAGGCCTTTGTATTTATTTTTTCCTTTTAAATTTCATAAAGACAAAAGGAGAAAGAACAGCATTTACACAAGTCCCCTATGTTTTTAGTACATTTTGCTCATTTGTAAAAATGAAGAAACTAAGAGCGCTCAATTAAGAATATAGTTCAAAACAATGCCCCGCCCAGAGAAAGTCTTATATAAGCATTAACTCTTGCATTTGTTTTTATTATTAGACACAGCAATCTACTTATACTATTATTTCTCAACTACCAAGAATGCCTAATAAAAGAGGGAAAAAAAATCACCCAAACTCGTTTAGCTGGTTTCCAGAGTCCAAAAAGTCAATAGATGGAACAACAGAGACCAGCCCATTAAAACAAACAGGGGTGGGGCTGGAGAAGCCCAAGAAGGGAAGGAGTAAGTGACTGGGGTCAGCAGGTGGCAGCAAGTAAGGCCCTCCCAATGTCCCCCATCAGAGCAACATGCTCTAAGATCCCACAGGAGCTCTGTGTTAGTTGTCAGCCCTCCCTCGATTGACTATTCCTCAAGTTCACCACCAAGCTTAAAAAAAAAGGATTGAGGGGAGAACTTGATCATCACAGGCACAGATAAAAACAATTCTAAACACATAGTGTTGTTTATTAAATTGCAGGTATATGATTCACTCTTTATGGAATACACTCATGATACAATACATAATCCACATTATCTTTCCACAAAGTCCACATAACTGACCTTCTCCAAGAGTCCTCTGCAGCAAGTCATGTTTGGCTTGAAGTTTTGTGATGAGATTACTGCCTTCCAAATATTCTCTAAGTTTCTGCAAAAGGCAATTGAAAGGTAAAAATATATTTTTTTAAGTTTTCAAACTATTCAATGTCAAGGAACTTTTCATAAGAGATATCAAGCCCAGTCACTTTTATCTTCTCGATTCTAGAATTGTGCTACTCAACGTGCGCACGTCTGCAGTCTGACAGTATCAGCCATCACTTGGGAGCCTATTCCAGGTGCAGACTCTCAGGCCCCTTCCTCCTCAGACCCACCGAAATCAAATCTGCATTTTAATAAGCAGTTAAAGGTCTTTTTTTTTTTTAAATTTGTTTTTTTAATTGTAGATGGAGACAATTCTTTATTTATTTTTATATGGTGCTGAGGATCGAACCCAGTGCCTCACATGTGTGCCAGGCAAGGTCTCTACCACAACCCCAGCCCCTAAAGGTCCTGTTTTTAGAGCAGTCTTAACTTCTTCGTGAACTCCTAATTCTATCAAGACTGAATGAATCAGGAACTCTGAGTGTGGATAGGAGTACATATCTTTTTTTAAAAAAAATATTTATTTATTTTTAATTTTAGGTAGACACAATATCTTTATTTTACATTTATGTGGTGCTGAGGATGGAACCCAGTGCCTCGTGCATGCTAGGCCTCTACCGCTGAGCCACAACCCCAGCCCCAGGAGTCCATATCTTAATCAAGACCCCAGATGATTCTGATGCAGTTATGGAAGGAGCACTAGGGAACTGTGGATCTGGGCCCTGTCAAGAGTGGCTGGGGGAGCAATGGGAGTACCATGAAGTAGAACTGCTCGGTTTCCTGCTGGTTGGCTCTCCTCTTGGCGATGCTGGGTTTGCTCAGGTAGGTTTCAGAGACAGTGGACTTCACAGACTCTGTGGAGCGGCTGTGCTGGAAACATTCAGATACATCGTAGTCCTCAATGGTGACCATATCTTGTATTGTCTGCAAGGTGGCTTCAGTAGTTTTTTTGACCTTGGAACAGAAATATATTTTTCAGGTTTAGTACATTGTTTCACAGATCCCACATCTACTCAGTGAGAGTCCACTGTGTCAAGCAGAGATGAGGACACGGGGGCCCGCTCCCAAGGAGTTCAGAGCCTATTAGGGGAGAGAGACAGGTCATCAATACCTCGCATCACCAAAGTAAGGGGAGGATTCCTTTGAAATTTACTGAAATATACAACACTTTATATTTAAATCTCAGAGATCACGGGTTTTCACAATTACTCCTTTGCTTTAAATAATCTTTTTAACTGAAGTGAAACTACATGCTGAAAAATAGAGGCCATGTGTGTACAGCCTGATGAATGATCAGAGTGGACAACTGTTGTGACCATAAACAACAGACAAGAAACCTCTGTTACCCACTTCCACACACTCTTCCCTCTTCCTCCAAGGTCCCCTGATTTCTAACAACATATTAGTTTTGTCCATTTTTGTACTTTGCATAAATGGAATTCTACAGCATGTATTCTTTGTCTTGCTTCGATTGCTCAATGTTAGTGAGATTCATTCATTTCTTATGGGTATGGTACTTTGTAGATGAACATTTACTATAAGACCACATTATATCACATTTATTTATTTGTTAGTTTATTTATTTATTTATTGTGGTGCTGGGAATTGAATTCAGGGCCTCAGGCATGCTACGCAAGTGCTCTATCCCTTAGCTATTTATAGAGAATTTATTTTTAGTTTTTGGCTATTATGAATAATGCTACTATGAATGCAATTTTGTTGGGCCTCATATAAATGGATAGAATTCCTGCTGAGGAGTATTGCCAGAATGTTTTCCACAGTGACTGTGGAAGTTTATATTTTCACCAGCAGGTAGGAGAATTCCTATCCTCATCAATAGTTAATATTTTTGGTCTTTTCAGTTTAAATCACTGAGCAGTGGTACCTCCCTGGGGTTTCCACATGCTTTTCCTTGATGTATGTCATTGAACAAAGTTTTAAGGCAGTTTGGATCTCCTTCCTTAGGTGTGCTTTGTTCTAATCTCTTGCTCAGTTTTCTCCTGTGATGAGTCTTTTTCTCACTGATTTACAGATATGGATATGAGTCTTTTGTTAATTATGCATGTTATAAATGCCTTTTCCCACTCTGTGCCATGACTTTCACTGTTATTTAGATGAACAGTCCCCAATTTAATGTAATCAATTTATTGATTCTTTCCTTTGTGATTGGTGCTTTTTGTGTCCCATTTAAGAAATATTTTCCTATCACATGGTCAGGAAGATACTGTTCTATGTTATCTTCTAGGAGCCTTTTTATTTATTTATCTTCCAGGAGTTTTAAAAATCTACCTTACTTACCAAAGGTCATAGGCCTGCCTTTGTTTATCAAAGTTTAATGTAAATTGATAGCTTTATCTTCCTCCTCCAGATTTATATGCTATTTTTGTAATGGATTGAATAGGACATGCAGGTAAATATTTTCATATATTTAAATAAGACATTACTAGTTATTGTTTTATACAATCAATATTCACTTAGCTTTATTCATATATTTATTACATTCTTTGATCTCTTTTCCTTGTATTTTGAGTACCCTTTAAAAATTCTTTTAGTATGAGTCTGTTTTTCATTTGAAAACATCCTTTATTTCACCTTCACTTATGAAAGATATTTTTCTACTTGGCAGTTATTTTCTTTCTGTATATGGAAGGTACCACTGCAATTTCCTGTGGCTTCCATGTTCTTATCGAGTGAGATGTTTACTGTCAGTCTGTCATTACTTTGGATGAAACCTTTTTTCTCCAGGAGTTTTAAGTTTTCAATTCATCTTTGGAATTCTACAGTTTCAACATAATGCATCTAGGTAAGGATTTTAAAAATATATTTTGCTTAGTACCCTGGGTCATAAAACTTAAAATAAAATAGGGGCTGGGGATGTGGCTCAAGCGGTAGCGCGCTAGCCTGGCATGCGTGCGGCCCGGGTTCGATCCTCAGCACCACATACAAACAAAGATGTTGTGTCCACCAAAAACTAAAAAATAAATATTAAAAAATTCCCTCTCTCTCTCTTTAAAAAAAAAACCAAAACTTAAAATAAAATAAAAATAAATAAATAAATAAATTCAAAACTATATATTTGGCCTGGAATTTTTTGGATTTCTTGAATCTTTGTGATTTTTTTCATAAACTGTGCCAAGTTTTCAGACTTTCTCTTTTCAATTATAGAATACTTTTTTGGGTGGTGAGCAAATCAATTATTATACTAGAATTCTTTATGTTCTCTAAATCTCTTATCTTTGTTTCCCATTATTATATCCTTTGATTTTTACATACTTCATTTTGATTATTTTCTCTTGCTTTTTCTTCTACTTTGACAATTCACTCTTCAGATGTGTCTAATCTGAAGTTAAAACATTCACTGATTTCATTGCTTATTGTAATTCTTAGTTCTCAAATTCCTATGTGGTTCATTTTCAAATCTTTTATTTTATTGCTATTGTTCCCTGTTGAAATCTAAGCTTGTTTTTTTAATCTTCTTGAATACTGTAAGCAGCCCTTTTTAATTTGTGTCCAATAATCTCAAAATTTGAAGCTTCTGTAGATCTTTATTCTCTGTTATTCTTCTGGATATAACTCATTATTGTTTCCTCTTGTGCTTTATTACTTTTATTGGACATTTTTGTAGAGTTATTTGAGGCCTAAAGTGAAGTTATCAGTCTCCAAAGAGAATATTTATTTTCCCAAACCATTGAGGACAGTAGTGGTTTAGAATAGCTAGATTTTATTATTGTTTGAAATATTGGATGAGCCTTCCTTTTGGGAAGATGTAGTTTCCTGTGTCACGAGCTTCAGGTTTGGCTAATCACCTTGTCCTGGATAATAAAATGTGAAAGGAAGAACTAGCTGAGTGACCCAGTCCACCATTGTAGGAAGTGGATATCGTTTTGATTATTAAAAAAAAAAAATAGCCTCATAGTATTTAGTGAATAAACAATAGCTATCAGTACTAGTTTGGATGTTTAAAAAGGTCATTATGATAGGATTAGTAAAAAGGGAAAAAGGAATGTAAGAGGCTTAATTATTTCTGGGAGTAAGCACAAAGCAAAAGACAGACGTTGTTGGAAAAAAGCATACTTGAGATCATTTTAAAAAATAATGCTGTAAATAATTACTTTAAGGAGGTTATGATTATATATCTATAGTCAAATGGGTTCTTGTGGCTTGTGGGAAAATTTCTAATGATAGCATCATGCATGAGTTTTTTAAAGTATAATATCTCAAACTAATAGATGTGAAGAAGGTGTACTCTGGTGAGAGTATTCCTTATGACTCAAAATGTGGCTCTGGTAATGACAAATACAGTATCAGAAAATATGAAAAGTCTCTGTAAAATTGTGAGAATGAAAAATAAACCATATTTCTAAATTAAAACATAATTTTATGTATGATTTTTAAATACTAAAGAATAATTAATAATTAAATATTGAAGGTATTTGACTATTTTATAGCTCTTTAGGTTTTATAGTCACATTAAAAAAATGAAAGCCTTTTACTTACGCCTACATATAACAAGTGAAATGTCATTACATAAGCATGATTACTACTTTATTCAACTACACTCCTGATACTTACAAATGTGTAAGAAAGCACTGGGGAGAGATTAGACTGTGCCATCTGAGGAGGTCGCAGAAGACAGAACTGAAGAGGTAAGTTCTGAGCCAGGTGTTGAAGAATAAATAGAAATTCACTGGAAAAAACGGCGCTCCAGGTAGAAGAAGCGAGAAGCCCCAGCAGCCCCTTTGGGCTACAACAACTAGTTTTATGTGGGTAAAAGGAGAATGTTTAGAGGAGATAAACTGCTATAATAAGGCCCTAACACCTCACTCTCAATTGAGGATCACTAGGGAGCCACTGATATCTATAAGGAATGGGAGTGACAGTTCAGAGTTCATTTTATTTTAAAGTACAGGGGATTGAACAGGGGATTTTTTTTAAGTACAGGGGCACTCAACCACTGAGCCCCATCTCCAGCCCTATTTTGTATTTTATTTAGAGACAGGGTCTCACTAAGATGCTTAGCATCTCACTATTGCTGAGGCTGACTTTGAACTCAAGATCCTCTGGTCTCAGCCTCCCCAGCCACTGGAATTATAGGCATGCACCACCAAGCCTGGCTCAGAGTTACATTTTAAAAGAAATTCCTGACCTCATGAACAATAAAAGGGAAAGACACAGAAGGTGGAAAAGTGAGCCAGGAGACCTTGGTTAAGAAATGATCGTAAATACCGATGGGAATGAAGATGCTGGGACACCTTTGAAAAGCACTGAAGCATCAGAAGTGGAGGGCTCATCTTTTTTTTTTTTTTTTGGAAATGGTTTAAATGAAAAACAAACCAGAAGTAACTACATAAAGCACAGCAAAACTTCAAAGGATATAGAAAGTTGAAAGGTACATAATATTCTTAAGATTTTGGTGGAGTGTAAAAATAAAGTTATGTGAGGTGTGATAAGGTTAATTAGGCTTCTAATTAAAACACAGTGCCAATTAAAATTAAGACAAAAGAAAAAGCTCCCAAAACCAAAAATAGGGAAAAAAGAAAAATCACCCAAACAAAACAAAAAGTCATCATGGCCTAAAATAAAAATCTGCATTTATTGTTTGCATTAAAATAATCTACAATTTTTTGGAATTTGGCAGTTAAAGTATATTCACTGGGCAGGTGTGGTGGCAGATGCCTGTAATGTCAGCTACTGGGAGGCTGAGGCAGGAGGATCGAAAGTTCAAGGCCAGACTGAGCAACCTAGTCAGACCCTGTAACAAAATTTAAAACTTCAACAACACAAAAAAGCTGGGGATATAGCTCAGTGATAGAGCAAGCCTGGGTTCAATCTCTAGTATCCCCAAAATAAAGTATGTTGACATAGTTTATGAGACAGATGGCTTCAGAACAAGGATTCATTAGAACCGTGTTCTGGTGGGTAGTAAAACCAGTCACAGCACCAGTATCCAATGC